GTCCTGTTTGGGTTTTCTTTTACAAGGCGACTTGCAAATGATTTTGTGATCTGTCAACCCTGTGGTGACAGCAGTAAGACATATAGCAGAGGCCTAATGCAAAACAGGTCAAAGGTGAGACCTCCAAAGAGGCCTTCAAAGAGGTGTCCTTGCTAGTCTCAAAAGATTTTGGGTCTTGGGATGACAAATTCCTGAGCGCCATATATTTTGACTATGGATGGGCATGTGTTTTGGGAACTATAAAGATAGGGGGCTAGAGGACATCTAGCAGTGCTCACTTTTACTGACTGTTCATGCCGTTTGTATTGTGTGTGAGACTCCATTCGCGAATGTTTAATAAAACTCAAGAAAGACAGTCGACGTGTGAAGACTTTTTCTTTGAATTGTTTATTGAATAGTTATTTTGCCCCCACAGTTCCTTCCAAAGCTAAATTAAATGGACATGGTCCTTTGGCAGCTGCCAACTTGGCTGTTTATTTTTCGACTCCTACAGCGCAGCGCTGTCCTCATCATGTTACGCCCGCCCAGAGCCCGCCTCTGTCAGATAGACTGATCTGATTGGTCCCATGGCGATTCACCGGGCTCTGCTCGTCAGGGCCAGATCCCCATGCAGATCAAATTCGAATTTGCTAGGGGCGAGGCATCTGGATTTCCAGATTACCTATAACCCTGTCTGAGCATGCTTTCAGGAGGGCTTTCAAGCATGTGAACAGCAAAAAAGCAGCAGCAACAGATGCTATCAGTGGGTGGATCTTCAAACTATGTGCTGACCAGTGTTCACAACAATATTCAACTGGTCACTGGCTCAGTCTGTCATACCCACAAGCTTTAAGAAGTTCACCATCATTCATGTGCCTAAAAAGCCAAAACCAACCTGCCTGAATGACGACCGCCCAGTGGCTCTCAGCTCTGTAGAGATAGACAGTGCTTTGAAAAGATGGTTAAGGATTACATCTGATCCTCACTAACCAGCACAGTGGCCCCACCACAGTTTGACTACCATCCCAACCGATCTACAGGGATGGGACGCCACAGCAATCATCTTCCACAACACCCTGTTTCACCTAGAAAAGAAAGAGAGCTATGTGAGTTCACTGTTCATTGACTACAGCTCAGTGTTTAACACCATAGTTCCCTCCAGACTGGTCACAAAGCTCAAAGAGCTAGGATTAAACACCTCACTGTGCATGTGGATCCTCGACTTTCTAACAGGCAGACCCCAGGTGGTGAGAGTGGGCGGACACACCTCTTTCACCCTTACCCCTCACACAGTAGCACCCCAGGGCTGCATTTTGAGTCTCCTGCTTCCTGTACACACACCATTGTGCAGCCACTTCAGACTCCAACACCATCAAGTTTGCTGATGACACAGCTGCGGTGGGCCTTATCACAGATAACAATGAAATTCCTACCTGAAAGAAGTAGAGGACCTGACCCGCTGGTGTCAGGACAACAACCTACCCTTGAACATCAGCATGGCTAATGAGTTGATAGAGGACTTTAGGAAAAAGCAGGAAATTACCTAACATTTTCTCCTCTATGTTGATAAGAAGGTACTGGATACATCAGGCCAGCACTGAGAGGGTGAGGAAGGGCTTCTACCCTCAGGACACAAGGACCTAAATAAAGACACTGCTTAAGACACCCCACCCCCCATAGACCTATATTTATTATTATTATTCCATTATTTGAATGTACTGTATGCTAATTTTTAATAATGTATAATGTATAATAATCTGCTAATGTATATGTAATGTAATCCGTGAATGTACATGCATTTTTGATAATTATGTTTTGTTTTATCTGTTTTGGACCCCAGGAAGACTAGCTCGTCACCTAGGTGGCAGTTAATGGGGATCCTTTTAATAAATAAATAAATAAATACAAAGTGATGGAATGGCAGATAGCATCTCACTGAAATCATATTTTTAAGATTTCCTGTGACAAATAAATTGATTGATTGATTGATGGAAAACAATAGCCCATGGACAGACGCATATATAATAAATGTTAGACCTCTATTTCTCATGCCTCCACACTGGAAAGCTGTGTCATCAGCATAGCTACACAGTTACTCTGACCTCAGACATAAAGCCACAAAGAAACAAGAAAAAAATAGTTACTGTGGAACAAAATATGACCAAAAAGCTGCAGCACAAGTAGGGTTGGGATCCGGATCCGGTTCTTTTTTGGAACCGGGTCCAAAGTTCCGGTTCCGAAACCTGTTCCATCACATTTGGAGTAACGGTTCCTGCAAACGGTTCCTAGATTGTAAAAAAAAAACAAAAAAAACAACGTCACGTGCATTTCCATAAGAGCGTGGCACGGGCCGCATATTTCTGTCCGAACCCGACCGAGCCCGACATTATCTAATTACTAAAGCACAGGTTACAGGCTATTTAACAGGCCAGACGTGCACTGTGGGTGCTCTGCGGAGAGGGAGACCTCCATGTTTGAGACGGGAGCGGGCGGTGGGAGGTTCGAGCCGGCTTCCAGCGAGGGGAGATGGAGATATATAACAAAATAAGATAAAATAGGAGAAACCTGTCTCCCTCTTTTATTTAATTTTCAGCGTTTAATCAAGGCGGAGGCAGGCGGCGGGAGGTCCGACGCTTCCAGCGAGGGGAGCGGTAGAAACAAACAGCCAATGTGTGTGTGTGTGTGTTGTGTTCAGGTGTTGTCACGTAAATAACAGTGCCCAAGCATGTATGCATATAAGTATTTTTTTTTATTACATTGCTGTGGTTAATTTGAGGTAATAGTGTTACCGTAGAAATCAGAGAATCACTTTTTGTTGTTATATATTCTCAGGGAGATGATACAAGCTCTAAATCTGAAATACACACCACACACAAATGTGTATTTTCATCTAATTGTACTGTGCAACAGTTAGAATAAAGTTTTTGTATTTGTATGATTGCATTTGTGTTTAGTATATACTTGTTTAAGTATAGCAAGTATAATGAATATAATATAGGAATGGGTAAGAGGAATCGGTAAGGAATCGGACCGTTAAGAAGGAATCTGTAAGGAATCGGAATCGTTAAAATCCTAACGAGTCCCAACCCTAACCACAAGTCTGCCAATACACATATCAAACACAAACTTGGCAGCCAGGGCTGCAATTTTCTCTTGTACTATTTCGCTCCCCCTCAATATCTTAGCTCCTCAGCATTTTAATTTTAATGATCCAGCAATGACATTCTTGAAAAAAGCTGTAAGCTGCATGTTTGAGGCTATTTTTTCTCTTGCAGAGTCTAGTTTTCTGGAAGACACAGATAAGAGAAGAGCATTGTAAAAGCAGTTTGAACTCAGAGGCAACTGCTCAGCATAGTGATGGTCAGACAGCAGATGAGAGCTGCAACAAGCCATGCTTTTCAATTAGCCAAGACAATAAAAACCTAAACAGCATGCTGGAGAGGACATTATGGGAGACAGTCACAAAATTTTGTGAAGTGAACAAACTCCAAATTCAAATTATGTTGTTGGCACAAATTATGTAATGGTTATGTTCCTTCACCAACAAAGGTGAAGTGTGTGACAACAGCACATACTGGGCACATTTCTTTGTCACTCGTAAGTAAACAGATTTTCTGTGAGCAAGTAACAAAGCCTTTGTCGAATTTAGGCTAAGGTTCTGTTAAAGAGTAACCATCTCAACAAATCCATGGAAGACCTTACGTATAACAGTCAAAACAGGATGCTGAACTGCCCACACCATAATGGTTCTTGAGGCTGCCTATAATGTTGCAACGTTGGAGGAGAATTTGGTTTTGGAACTATTTTTTTCAGTCCTATCCAGGTCCTTAACTGGTAGCAAGCATCAAGTGACTAAACTATCCCACTGAGATCACTGTCAGTCAACACAGAAGCTGTGGTTGTGATTGCTATTAACAGTTTTTCATGATGATAAAGATATATGCCGATTAAAGATTTGTTTCTTCAAGTTGAATTAAAATAGTCTATGCAGCTGCATCAATCTCCTTCACGCTTGATGCAAGGACAACTAAAAAGTCTGGAACCAGGCAACCTGGTCTCATCGTGAAGTCAATGAAAACCAGGACTTGGTCAGTGACTTCTGGCATCGAGACACCAACAACAAAACCATCCTTTCATGTCGGCATGATACGCGGACAAAATGAAAGTTAATAAGTGTTATGAAGTAGTAGTAGTTATGAAGTGTGAGTAAGGCGGGCAGGAGGGTGGTGGATGGGTCCAACAACAACCAACTTTCACCCAGGATGCTGGTGATTGCTTCCCATATGATTGTAAAGCCAAGCCCTTTTTACTGAAACCCAACCACATGCGTGTGTTGGCTAAACGTAACCAAGTGCATTTGTTGTTGAAGGAAAAAACACCTCACTTCACTGTATTGTAATAATAACGGTGACTGGCTGCATATCATGCCAGTGTGAAGGGCCAGCTTTTTTTTTTGTTGGTGTCTAATGCCAGAAGACACTGACCAACTGCCCTTTTTTGATGACTTCGGAGTGAGACCGAGTTGGTTGTGTTGAGGTCTGATCACCTGATGATATCAGCAAAAACACTGTTGCCCCAATCGGAAACTAAACGTTAATTGTCCTCCCTTTTCTGCAAGTTCATATCATTCATTGAAAATATGCTGTAGTCTGTGTTGAGAAAGGCCTATTGCCTGTATAGTAAAAAAAAACATGAGGAATTACACGGGAACCCTGGACACCTGGAATTTCTTTCCCACCTCTCATTTTGGGTTTGGTTACTCTTTAAGTTAAGAAAGGGTAGAGGGAAAAAAAGCAAAGAAGATATTTCACCTCACACAGTTATTACTCTCTACAATGCCATGTCAGTGCCAAATCCCTCAAGGAATCCTTTCCCGGTGGGGAAATGTCATTTTTATGTGCAAAAGCACAGTATTGGCAGCTCTAGATGCACATCTCACAAAATTTTGGAGGAAGAAGCTGCATGGAACATTATGTGATGTGGTAAAATGCAGCATAAACTGTAGCATGGGTGGCTGGGGGGGCAGGGTGGTGTGGAGGAGTAGGGTGAGGGGGTAACAGGAGTGTTGCATTGTGGGGCTGGTATCCTGAGAGGGAGGCCGGGACGGGCCTGAGGCGCCTAGCAAAATGCTGGCGCAGCACAGCTCCAGTCTGCCAGGCCTTGGCTTTAGGGGGGTAAAGAGTGAAAAAACCAACCTTCCCGTTGATCTGAGTGGTGAGATTTGGATTGTATTTTTGGATGGCAGGGTGCAATGATGATGAAGGGATTTAAGATAAAGTGAAAAAGAAAAAACAAACGAGAGGGGCAAAATAAGGAGTAGGAGAAGGAAGACAAGGAGAAACACAGAGAGTAAAACAGGCAAATATCTGCTTATCCTTTAATGAGTGAGAAAATCACAGTAGAGACAAAAGCCTTTGCAGTGAGGTAACAAGCACACACACACACACACACACACACACACACACACGGTACATAATGCGAACCCATCACACACAAAGCATAAGGTGTATCTCAAATAAGCGCAAGGAGACACAGTAAGATCATTGCTAATTTAACTCTGACTAAAAAAAACAGCACTATTCGAGTTTTTCTAGTCAGCACCCTCACACATGGACACACAGAAGCAAACAAACACATAAAATTGCATACATTCACATTGCCCTTCCTGTCCTGAGCCTGTGAATTAAGGCAGCATTAAGGAGGCTGATGCTTGCTGACAACCAGACTTCATTAAGCACACAAAGTGACAGTGTGTTACTGCCTACATTTATTCTGCCTATTGACTCTGAGCGAGCTCAGCCTGTGAGCCTTGTAATCAATGAACACATAAACATGGTGCCTGATAGGATTAGTCAAACACTCACCTTGGAAATTCTTTTGCCAGGTGCCCAGTCCTAACTAAGTACAGATTCATTTCTATGGAAGAACACATTGTAAGCTAATACTGCATTAAAGTAGAACACTGAGACTGTCCTGTTGGTCCACTTACCCACTACCTAATGACAACAAAGCCATCAAAGTATTCCATGTGTGATCTTGCAGTCATCTACTTTAACTATGCCAGTATTGTGCTGTATTTACATACAAGTCATTCCTGCTGGTTTCCATCAACCTGTACAACTTCCTCCCTCATAGTGTCAGCAGCTCTGAGTCAGTAGACTGGCATTTGGACCTTTTTAACCTACAGCATTTATAATTGATAATTATCTATTGGGTGCAATAATTTAACTGCCACAATATTCTGTGCAATTATTTAGCAGTGCAATATTATTGATGTATATTAGTAGTTAAATTTTCACAGTTACAGCCCTGGCACAGTAATGATATTTATTTAATATTTTAATTTTTTATAAACATGGTAAAATAATGCACATTTTATTTTTTATTTTAATGCACATTACCTTTATATATATATATATTTTTCAACTGGATATTTTATTTTATTGCTTTATATTTACATACTTTATTTTAAAGTTTTATTCTTACTTCTTATGATTTTACTATTCTTTACATTGGAGCAACTGTAATAAATCAGAATTTCCTCTCAGGATCAATGAAGTATTTCTGATTCTGATTCTGATCAAATACATTTAATTAACAACCCCAATTTCTAAACAGTTGGGATGCTGTGTTGAATTGAATACAGTCCAAAGACAAGTTATTTAATGTTCAAACTGATAAACAAACTGAATAACTTCCATTATTGCTTAATATACAACTTCAGTTGCTCAACAGTCCAGGGTATCTGTTGTCATGTTATGTGCTTCAAAATGTGCCACACATGTTCAAAAGGTTTCAGGTCTGGATGTCAGGCAGGTCAGTCTAGTGCCTGCGCTCTTTTACTACAAAGCCATGCTGTTGAAACACATGCAGAATGTGTCTCATTGTCTTGCTTGAATAAGCTGGGATGTCCCTGAAAAAGCGTTGTCTGGAGGGCAGCATATGTTGCTCCAAAACCTGTACATACCTTTCAGCATTCATGGTGCCTTCACAGATGTGCAAGTTACCCATGATGCCATGGGCACAAACACACCTCCATCCCATCACAGATGCTGGCTTTGAACTTTGAGCTGGTAATTGTGTGGATGGTCCTTTTACTCCTTAGCCCGTAGGACACCATGTCCATGATTTCCCAAAACAGTTTGAAATATGGACTGGTCAGTCTCAGACCGCAGCAGACTTTTCTACTTTGTGTCAGTCCATTCCAGATAAGCTTGGGTCCAGAGAACTGGGCAGTGTTTCTTGATGTTGTTAATATATGGCTTTCACTTTGTGTTTTAGAGTCTTTACCTGTATTTGTAAATGCAGCAATGAACTGGAGTTACTGACAATGGTTTTCCAAAGTGTTCCTGTCCCAGCTTTTCTGTAATGTGCTGAAGGCACCAAATTCAGAATGACTGTATATTTACAAAAAACAATTAGGTTTATTAGTTTGAATATCAAGTACTTTTTGTCTCTGTACTGTAATTAATTGAATATAGGATGATGAGGTGAAACAAAGTTTCTCCTTTTATTCTGAGAGTGAGAGTCATGTGACGTCATATCTGTTTCAAGAAAAACAAAGCCAAAACAATACAGCAGAAAACAGCGGTCAGTCAAGGACACAAAGTAATTATGGATTGTGGGAACCCACAAAGTGTAAGATCATTATCTTACTTTTTAAAAACTTAAATTTAATTTTTGAATGCTCTACTTTCGATACTTACTCTTGTTAGTTGGCTGGTGGCAATAGAGTGCCCCAGGACTGAGTCCTAAATACCGGATATAAGTACTGAGTGAGCAGGACGGTGGTGCAGATGCAGAATGAAAGTGAGTTCTTTAAATAGGCTGCATAGTCTGAACATGTTTTAATAACATTTTAATGATCATGTTTAAATGCACTTGTTACACTTTTGTTGAAGTAGCTGAAATAAAAACACTGAATCCTGTTGAGCAAAGATCGAAATAGATCTAAATTGTTAAATCTATTGTATTTTAACCTTGATGCCTTTGCAAGTGCAAATCACCAAACACATTATTACTTATTATTGTGAGCTTTCCATCATGTCCTTGTCTTTGATATGAATGTGTTTTTCCACTTCAGATAAAAGCCAAACAAATTTTAATATGTAATGTAGGCTATGGCCTATTAATGAATTGACAGACAACACTGAATGAAACTCAGTTGTGTTAACTTAATTGGAAAACTTTCTGGGGAAAACCTGGTCTTATTAGGAGAGACGGCATTCATCCCACTTTGGATGGAGCCACTCTCATATCTAGAAACCTGGCCAAGTTTATTAGTAATTCAAAACCCTGACAACCCAGAGTTGAGACCAGGAATCAGAGTCATAGTCTTACATGCTTCTCTCAGCTTCTAGTGCAGTTACCCACCCATAGAGTTATACAAATGGTGTCTGCCCCCTGACCATCTAAATTATCTAAATCTAAAATTAAACAAAGAGGAGTTGTGCAAAACAACCTAATAAAAATTAAAACCTCTTCTGTGACAGAAAGACAAAACAGGAGAATTAAATGCGGACTGTTAAATATCAGGTCTCTATCGTCTAAAGCAGTGTTAGTAAACAAATTAATATCACATAATCATATTGATTTACTCAGTCTCACTGAAACCTGGCTGTGTCAAGATGAATATGTTAGTCTCAATGAATCCACTCCTCCCAGTCATAATAATACCCACATTCCTCGAGGCAGCGGCCGAGGAGGGGGAGTTGCAGCCATTTTTAACTCTAGTCTGTTAATCAGCCCTAAACCTAAACTAGATTATAATTCATTTGAAAGCCTCGTTCTTAGTCTTTTACATCCGACCTGGAAAACCTCACAGCCACATTTATTTGTTATAGTGTACCGTGCTCCTGGCCCGTATTCTGAATTTGTTTTTATCCAGTTTAGTTCTTAAAGGGGAACTAACCCCCCCCTCTCTGGGCATTACACCGCCCACAGCTTGATTTAAAAAAATTCAGAAAAGATAGGCGGAGCTGAGGGAGGGGGGGGGGCAGGCGAGCGGCTGAGGAAGCGGTGGAGTGAAGATTGTCCCTCGCTCGCTCACTCTGTAAATTTCCATTGCTATGCGGATGATACACAGTTGTATTTATCAATAAATTTTTAGATAGATTTATCGAGCACCTTCTCTCCTTCTCTCTCTCTCTCCTTTGCTAACATTCACGGCCTATAACTGCATGTCACTAACTCGGCTTCTTCTCAGGAGCTTTTGTGTGCCACTGTGTGGCAGGTTAACTTATATTGCAGCTGTGCCTGGATCGTGTGACCTGGTTGTGCTGCTGCCGTGGTCCTGCCTGATGCCTCCTGCTGCTGCTGTTATCATTAGTCATACTTCTACTGTCATTATACACATATGATTATTGTCACATACATATACTATCATATATATACCTACAACATATTATACCACAATTGACATAATTATTATTAAAATATTATTACTTAAATTAATGTTGTTGTAAGCTGTCATTACTGTCTGTCCTGCATCTCTCTCGGTCTCTTTCTGTCTCTGTCTCTTTTTCTGTATCATTTTGTCATACGGATTACTGTTAATTTATCATGTTGATCTGTTCTGTACGACATCTATTGCACGTCTGTCCGTCCTGGAAGAGGGATCCCCTCCTCTTCCTGAGGTTTCTAACATTTTCTCCCCCCGTTAAAGCGTTCTTTTGGGGAGTTTTTCCTTATCAGCTGTGAGGGTCCAAAGGACAGAAGGATGTTGTATGCTGTAAAGCCCTGTGAGGCAAATTGTTATTTGTGATATTGGGCTTTACAAATAAAATTGATTGATTGACTGATTAACTTAATCACACTTATCCCAGCTCTGACTCAGACTCACAGCCAGCATGTACATGCATTATCATTTCCTTGTCCACTGGATTAGAATGGAGGCTCTGCTTTTCATTGCCTGTTGCTAGAGATATAAATATAGACAGTGCAGGCAGTGGGCAATGTATTGGGTGGAGAATGGGCCCTCATGAGTGATTGCCACCTTGGAAATATGCTTGTTAGCAAAGAACAACTCTTATTCCATTAAAAACAGTACCATTTGCTATATATGCCCTTGAAAAAGGCAAACCCATCTCTGTCATGTTGTTTTTCTTTTTTAGTAAAAAAAAAAGTCAGTAGCATCTATAACAAAATGATGTGCTCCAAATAAACTATCATAAACTATTAAAATTGTTAAATTAAATTCATAATTTTTCTTTGGTATTTTTTGTGATATATTGTTATACAATGACGATTGCTGGGTAACATGTATGTTAATGTTATCCAATGTCAAGTCTCTGATTATGTGGTGAGACAATACCTGCACAACAGCGTACACTATCGAGCACATCATAAAAGCATTTACTGGGGTCCGTTGCAACTACCTTACGCTACTGCCTGTTGCCATGGTCAATCATAGTATTGGAGCTTCATTGATGATGGCATTTTCATTCACCTTGCATGAGCTTAACTCAGAGTGAACATACTCAAAGTTAACTGAGCTAATTCTAATCAACTGTTCTGAAACTGAAAACTCAAGAGTTTTCCATCTAGGTGTTCATCAACTCAGAGTTCAGGGTTAGTCTCAGCATTTGTTAAACCTGCTCGTAGGAAAAGAACAAAGCCAGCTGTTTAACCACCCATCTGTGTGCAGACTTGTCACTGTCCTGAATGAGGCCAATTACCACTATGTCATTTGCAAACTTTAGGAAATAAACAGGTCTCCTGAGGTGCAGTCATTGGTATAGAAGGAGAAGAGCAGTGGTGAGAGGACACACCACTGAGGGGCACCAGTGCTGATGGCCTCAGTGCTAGATGTGATTTTCCCTTGCCTCACCAGTTGCCAATGGCATGTAGGCTGGTGGCAGGACCAGCAATTAACAGCAGCTAGGATGAAGAACATTACTGTATACAACCAATAGTTGAAGCAATTAAAGGTTCAAATTTAAAATTAATCTCTTAAGCAGATTTTGTCCCTTGTTTATAAAGCGTCATTGCTCCTTACGGGTAATGCTTCTTGTCTCGTATGGACATAAGGAATGATTGAACATCAAATAAAGAGAGTAAAGCAGTAATTAATAAACCCTTTGCTTTGATAACTGCCTTTGAGAACCTCATATTAGTTGAGGGAAATTGAGTTGTTTATTGACAGGTCCTACTTATGAGAAGGCTTCAATTCACTCTGCTGGCTTTTGTTGCAGCACATCCAGTCAACTGGAGCCAGCTTTCTGGGGAATTTCCTGTCTGTGTTGTTCAACATAGAAGGTAGTATGGCAAAAATTATGAGGTTAAGCAGGTCAAGCAAGCAAACTAACAGGACACTGGAGCAAAATACACAAATTACTATCCAAGAGACAAAGGCATTACAGAAAGGGAGACAGAAAGAGCAGGAAATGACAGTGGGACAACAGAGACTGAACGGGCATCAACAAGCCTGACTTTTACTGCTGAATACAGCTGAATCAAGGGAGCTAGATTTCCAATTAGCAGTCAGCAGTCAGAGCAACGGTGCAGATGTTGATGAGAGAGGACCTTACTGTTAAAGGTGGTGACCTCAGTGGCAGGGAGGGGTCAGTCAGGGTCAAGAGGGATCTTACCTCGAACATAAAGGTTAGCTGGAGCAGAGTAGCGAGTCCCGGCGTTGTTCACTGCCATGCACTCGTATTTGCCCTGGTCCGACTCCTCGCTGTTCTCAATCTGAAGCGCTCCTGAGGAGGGGAGGCCAAATGTCATGTTTCAGGTCTTCAACACACACACACACACACACACACACCCACACACACACACACACACACACACACACGCACACACACACACACACACATACATGGTGGTGGATTAATCTGATTCAGACACACAAACACTAATCCTTGGCTGGCCATGTCCCTGCCCAAATGAACCCAAATATGATAATCTAATGTTTTCATTCCATACCTATAAAAAAAGTATTCAGGCTTAACTTTTCCTCTTTTTGTTAAAAATCCAGAGGCCTACAGTATAGCTACTAATTTATGGTAGTGTGTGAAATTTGTGAGCCGCATTTGACCCATCCCCTGAGGGAGCGGTGAGCAGCAGTGGTGCCGCACTCGGGAATCATGTGGTGATGATTTACGGTGGCGGAGCGCATAAACAAACACTTTGGAGGAGGTATGTGCTCTCAAATCAAACTTTTTTAAGGATTATTCGTTTACCTGAAGTGTCTTGAAACTAATTTCACTGCTGGTTGTTTTCTTTTCCAAAAGTAGATCAGGAGCCAGAGCCTTCAGCTATCAGGCTCCTCTCCTGTGGAATCATCTTCCTGTTACGGTCCGGGAGGCAGACACCGTCTCCACATTTAAGACTAGACTTAAGACTTTCCTCTTTGATAAAGCTTATAGTTAGGGCTGGCTCAGGCTTGCCCTGTACCAGCCCCTAGTTAGGCTGACTTAG